TCGACCTTCACGCCTACATTGCGAAGATCGACCGCGAGTTCAAAACGCAACGGTACGACGACATCGACGCACCATTGCTATATGTACGCATTCAGATTGGAGAGGCGACCTACAGCGCTTTGATCGATTGCGGAGCATCTCGCAACTACATGAGTCAGGACTTCATGGTACGCGCTAGCCTTGCCCCACGAGTCCGAAGGAAGTCCCAGCCCACGCAAGTCACGTTGGCGGACGGTCACACGCACACGTCAATCGACCGGTGCATTGATGATGTCCCAGTGTACTTTGCCCCTCACGCAAGTGAGGCGGTGTCCTTTGACATTCTGGACACCAAATTCGACATGATCTTGGGCATGTCATGGCTGCGAAGCGAGGGCCACCCGGAGAACTTCTATCACCGCACCGTTCACGTTCGTGATCGGAACGGAGTACTAGTCCCATGCACGGTAGCTCCTCCTCACCCTTCAGTCAGCTGTCACATGGTATCCGCCGCAAGCATGCGAGCTTCCATCATCACAAACGACATCGAGGAGATGGGGGTGTGTTTTCTCCACGCCCTCCCGCCCCATGACGCTTCAACAACGGACTCTTCTTCGGATCCACGCATCATCGAGCTTCTCGACGCCTACAGCGACGTGTTCGAAGGCCCGCACGGAGTAGTACCGGATTGACCCATCCGCCACGAGATCATCCTCGAGGACGGGGCCGTACCTCCGCACGGTTGCATCTACCGAATGAGCGAGGAAGAGTTAAGTGTGCTTCGGGCACAACTCGACGACCTTCTGGAAAAAGGTTGGATTCGGCCTAGCTCATCGCCATACGGTGCTCCTGTTCTCTTCGTCCGGAAGAAGAACAAGGATTGGCGGTTGTGCATCGATTATCGCAAGCTCAACGCGCAGACGATCAGAAACGCCGGCCCCCTCCCACGCATCGACGATCTTCTCGAGCGACTGGGCGGCGCCAAGTTCTTCTCCAAGCTCGATCTCAAGTCGGGATATCACCAACTCGAGATTCGCAAGCAGGATCGCTACAAGACCGCGTTTAAGACGCGATATAGGCATTTGGAATGGCTGGTCATGCCATTTGGCCTTACGAATACCCCAGCTACTTTCTAAGCGGCTATGACGACGGAGTTCCGACACATGCTGGATCGATACGTACTTATCTACCTCGACGACATCCTGGTGTACAGCCGGAGTTTGGAGGAGCATGTGGAACACCTGCGCACCGTTTTGGAGCGGCTACGACAAGCCAAGTACAAAGCCAACCGCGACAAGTGCGAATTGGCGTGGCAGGAGCTGGAGTATTTGGGACAATATATGACGCCGCAAGGCATCCGTCCGCTTGTTGACAAGATCGAGGCCCTACGAGTATGGCCCGAGCCCACCAACACCACGGACGTTCGTTCATTCATGGGGTTGGCGGGCTACTATCAGCGATTGATCACACTCAAGGATTGTTGCACCTATGACGCGATTACAATCGCCGAAGGTGTCATTCGTATTCGATGACGATGCACGCCGGTCATTCCAAGCACTTAAGACGGCCATGCTCATGGCACCCGTCCTTAGCATCTATGATCCCACCCTGCCAACGAGAGTGACTAAGGGCGCTTCCGGTTATGGCATTGGGGCATTCTTGGAACAGCACGACGGCGACGACTGGCACCCTGTGGAGTATTTCAGCCACAAAGTGTCTCCCATCAACTCGCTTGATGATGCAAGGAAGAAGGAGCTGCTTGCATTCGTCATGGCTCTCAAGCGATGGCGGCACTTCCTCCTTGGGCGTCGTAGGTTCACATGGGTTACGGACAACAATCCATTGACCTACTACAAGACGCAGGATACGGTGAGCAGCACAATCGGACGATGGATGTACTTCATCGACCAGTTTGACTTCACACCGGAACATCTTCCCGGCCTCTCAAATCGCGCAGCAGATGCACTCTCGTGAAGACCTGATCTTTGCGCTATGACACATCATGCCTTCGCATTCGACGAGGAGCTTCAGCGACACTTCATCCGGGCATATGAGTCTGATCCGGACTTTGCCACGTTGTACGCACAACTATCTTCGGATCACCCGCCGGCCAGCCACTATCGCATTGCCGACGGGTACTTGCTCCTCCACTCGAGAGGCAAGTTGTGTGTCCCACGAGACCGTCGTCTTCGGACTCGCCTTCTCGGGGAGTACCATGACTCGTGACTCGCCGGCCATTTCGGAGTCAACCGCACTATTGCACGACTTCGACAAAGATTCCGATGGCCTGACCTCATTACGGATGTCACTCGGTATTGCGACTCTTGCGAAGTTTGCCGACGCAGCAAACCCTGCAACCGCAATCTCTATAGCGAGTTACGCCCGATGCCTATCCCACGGGAACCCGGTCTCTCAATTGCCATGGACGTCACCGGTCCGTTCCCTCACGACCGGCTCGGGCACGACGGCATCCTCACGGTTGTGGACCGATTGAGTAAGTACGTGMGTTTTCTTCCTTGCAAGTACTACTCCACGGCTCCCGAGCTGGCACGCCTCCTGCACACCGATTGGATTTGTGGTCACGGTGTACCGGAAGACATAGTCGACGACCGCGACACTCGCTTCATGTCGGCATTTTGGACTGCTCTCATGCAGGAGTCCATCACGAAGATGAAACCAAGTTCGGCTCGGCACCCACAGACGGACGGGCAAACGGAGCGGGCACATCAAACCGCTCAAATGATGCTTCGTACGCTTATCCGTCCGGACCAGAAGGATTGGGTTGACCGCCTCCCCGACATCGAGTTCGCCTACAACACTTCGGTGCACCCGGCGATCGGCGTGACTCCATTCGATTTGCACTACGGTGGACGGAAAGGCCGTATCTTCGCCGACCTTCTCCTCCCTCAACCAACCGACATGGACGCCGCTTGCTCTCCCGCTTCCGTCCGGAAGTACAGGGAATTGCTGACTTAAGCCCGCGCGAACATGCAAAAGGCTAAAGTCCGCATGCAGCAGCAAGCCAACAGGCGTCGCGTGTCATGTCCCATCCGCGCTAGTGATCTGGTTTGGGTCTCCGCGGAAGAGTTTGCACTGGAACAGGATGTTTCACGCACAACAAAAAAATTCCCATGAGAAATGAAAGTTGAAAAAACATTTCATAAAAAAAAAAATCCTTCATATTTATAAATTATCATTCCAATGTTTGTGCAATTCTAAAATTTCCAATTTAATTTGATAAGTTCCCATCTAAATATGAGCTTTCCCTTCCAACTACATCTATTTGTTAAAGATGGAATGAAATTCTGGAAAATTTTATGAAATGCTTTAATTAGACTTTCATTCTATTACAACAAACATCGTCTAATATATATTGGATTAACCTATTTATGACTGGAAATCCTTACTTAGAATGACAGTCCAATTAAAATATTCCATGAACTCATCCAGACTTTCATTTCATTTCTGGCATGCAGTTCAAATCCCCCTGAGCCACCTTTTCCCCTTGTCCCTCTTTTGGCAGCTCTGTGCTTTTTGGGTTTGTCCGTTTGTCCCGCCATTGCTGCGTCATAATCGGTTTCACATGTTTGTCTGGGGGTGAGGTATCTTTGGTTTGCCCAGGCCACAACCTCTTTCGCTTAGGACGTACTAGAATCCATTCCTCTCCTCCCTCCCCTTCCCCTCTGCCCTGTCCATGGTCCCTTCCTTATTTTCCTGACGTCCCTTTGTCTTCGACTCCTTTAGTTTTGTCTCTAGTGTTTTAGGAGGGGCCCAGGAGTTGGGGGACGTGTGTCCCACTTGGTTCCCCTTGCTTTTCCTAGACTCATCCTCTCGTTCTCCCCTCGTTGTGAAAGACAACAAACATCGTCTAATTTACACCAAATAAGCCCACCCCTTATGGTCGGGGTCCACCGGGTGCCAACGTGCAGTATTAAACGGGTCCCTCTGTAAGCGGCGTGTTACCCTTACTTACTTGTGTGGGTGGGATGGGCATAATTCCTTTGTGCACAAATGGCCATAAGCTTTGCATTTGAAGCACCATGGCTACAACTTGTGTCTTGTGTGGATCTTGTATTCCTTGTCCTTTATTCTGAACAGGATCACATCATCCATAGAGAAGGGGTGGGACTCCGGGATATCTAGAGCTAGCATAAGGTAATCATCCCGCTGTGCGACAAAAAGGGGAAGCGGTTCGATGAAATCAATGATGTTGTATTTTTGGCCCAGTTCATGCAAGAAACTGGCCTGGATTTCGACAGGGATGCGTCTGAATTCAATTAAAAAATAGTCAGTCATCATCTTTTGTCGTCGTTCCTTTGGGCCGGGCTGTTTGGGGGGCGACCAGGGGTAGATCCTCACCTCTGATCGTTCACATCTTAGACTCCTCCAACCATCAATCGTTTGTTTATCTTTTTCATGCATAGATAGGACTGTGACGGTGGTGGGGGAAAGAGGATGAATCAGGAAAGAGTCATTGGCTAGTACTTGTCCGTCCCGCTTCAGGGCTTCCAACCGAAGCCTGATCCACCTCACTTTGTCATTCGTGGATTTGTAGGCGGAATCATCATAGAAAACCCAAATGTTTGCATGTCTGAGGTATATATTGTCTCTGATTCCCATACCGTCTTTCGGATAGTTTCTCACCATCGTTTTCTTCCCCCCTTGATCGACCACCACTGTTTCTGGGGCGCAGAGGAGCTTGGTAAGGAAGAAGGACACATTGTCCAGTGGGATGTGCTGTGTCGGTTCCCCCGATGTACCATTCTCCCTCTGAACGACCAACGATTTTCCCAGAAAAGGTCTTTTAATCCTATCTTCTCATGTCCCATGTGTGTTCGCCTCTTTGTTTTGCTGGTTTATCTGTCCCTTCCCCCCTTGTGACGAACCCTGTTCTGTTTGTCTGGGCTGTCCCTGTTGTATCACCGGGGTTTCTGCAGGGCCCTCGGCCGACGGTTTCCCTGGCACTACAGCCACCTCCTTTCCCTGTTCCTTTTGGACCGCTGGTAACCCGGGCCTGACCTCCATGCCTGCAGGGGCTGTTTCTGGCCCCTCAGTGGGCACCCCCCTTGGTACTACTTCATCTGTTGGCAGTTCAACTTCTGTTGGAGGGGGGGGGGGGGGGCAGCGGGTCCCTTTGTCCTCCAGGGGGCTCGGTTCGAGAGGGCTCGAAGGTGGGCGTTCATGATCTGTCGCATTGCACCTCTGTAATATATCATAGACTCCAACCTCCGGCCATGCCTTTTTTTGGCCTTTGATCCAGGCCGTTCCATCTTTGCAAAAAAAAAAAAAAAAAAAAACCTTGCGTGAATGGATTCGCCTTCAGTTGTATGGTTTTCAAATATTAATGTATATGCAATCCGCTCCGCTTAATCAGCGACCAACTATACAACTCCTT